TGACTCGTTCTCAGCACTTCTATAGGCTAACAATAACAAGGGGATCTGCTCATCCCAAGTTTTCTGATCCTTCTCACAATACTGAGAGATCATATCAAACAAAGTTCTATTAAATCTTTCTACTAAACCATTAGCAGCTAGATGATAATCTGTGGTTTCGATTTTATTTACACCTAGTAATTCACAAACTTCCTTCATTAACTTAGAAATGAAGTTACTACCTCTTGGGGTATACCATGTCTAGCTACTGTGTGATTTACGAAAGCTTTAGCTATCGTTTCTACTTTCTGATCAGGCAAGCATACAGCCTCTGGAAACCTAGTTAAGTAGTCGGCGACTACTAACACGTATTTGTTTCCTGCATAGGATGTAGGCAAGGGCCCTAATATACCCATAGCAACTAGCTGAAAAGGCATTCTTTGTAAGGGTGCATTTCTTAAATGGGGACTAGTTTTTCGTCTCTGGCATTCTAGACAAGACTCGCAGTATTCTTTAATGTCTTTCCGCATGTTTAACCAAAAGAACCTTCTGCTTATTCTACTATATGTCTTAGCGAAAGCTAAGTGTGCTGCAAAAAGTGTGTCATGGTAAGTTTTCATGACTTTTGTTCTTAGCTTAATTGATACGACTATTTGTAAAGTACTACCGTCCTTAACTTTTCTACATAAAATATCCGAATCTATCATCTATTCTGTTTCATCTCCTTGTGTTACTTTACTGCGTAAGTTATTTATTTCTGGATCTTCCTTTTGTTCACTAATTATATTATCTAAGTCCCAAATTACTTCTAATTCATTTTCATGTTCGGATTGTACTTCTTTTATCTGATTGATTGTTTGTTTTTCTACAGTTCCGTTATTTTCTACTCTGATTCTGCTTAGAGCGTCTACATTAGCAATGTTTTTTACCTGGTCTATGTATTATTTCAAAGTTATAATCCTGTAATAGTAAAGATCATCTAACTAATCTAGAAGAATGGTCTTTTAATGTCATTAACCATTTTAAAGGTGCATGATCTGTAATAATGGTAAACTTTCTGCCGTATAAATAGCAACGAAAGGTTTTAATTCCATGTACTACAGCCAAGCACTCTTGCTCTGTAACTGAGTAATTATTTCGGGTTTTCCTAACTGTCTACTTTGATAAGCTATAGGGTGTTCTTTACCGTTTTCGTCTAACTGTGATAATACTGCACCTATAGCAAAACCTGAAGCATCTGTGCTTAAAATAAATTATTTACTAAAATCTGGGTAGGTTAGGATTGGTGCTTCTAATAAAGCTTCTCTCAGTTTTTCTAATGCTTCCTGTCTTTTATCTGTCCACTGAAATTTTGTTTCTTTCTTAGTTAACTCAGTTAGAGGTTTTGCTAATAAAGCAAAATGTGGTATAAATCTTCTATAGAATCCTACAAATCCTAAAAATTCACGAATATCTTTTACGGATTTAGGTACTGGGTAATTTTTACAGACTTCTAACTTTTTAGAGTCTGGTTTTACACCGTCTGAGGTCACTATATGACCCAAGTATTCTACTTCATTTTTCAAAAACTGACATTTACTCAGTTTAAGCTTTAAGTTCGCTTTTCTTAATCTATCTAATACATGCCTTAACCTTTCTAAGTGTTCTTGGCCTTTGTTATTCCCAAACGTCATTTTATCAAAATCAATTACAAACTTCCTTGGTAGTAGATAGGTCCAATCCTAATATGAATTGGTCTTCAATGTCAGCCAAGTATATTTTCTGTCTGTCCTTTATGTCCATGAGCTCAATAGTTACCCACACTGGTCCCCACAATCTTGTAGAATGTCCTGTCACACCATAAAGCTTCTGTATGGCTTCTGGTACTCCTTCGTGATCTAACACCTTGATGCTCACAAGGGTTTGCTGAGATGAAGAGTCTATGACAAAGTTGCACCTTTGGCCATCTAGCTTTCCTGTCACACAGACACTGTGTGTGCATGGTATTTTACACCTAGCTGTTGGGACTTTCACGATGGGGGTTGGTGGGCGTCGCTCAACACCAACCACTAATGGTCTCCTTGAGGCCGAGTTGTTGGTAATATTCTTCCTACACTGGCTCCTCAAATGTCCGTGCTTTCCACAGTTCCAACAATCTTTCTGGGTAGCAGCATTTCCTGCTGTGGCATCTCCCCTGTGCTGAAGTTTCCATCATTGAGCTCTCTTGTGCCCAGGTTTGTTACAGTGCCAGCAAAGTCCCTCAAACCTCTCTGAAAGCTGACCTTTTCTGGCCTTGAATCTAGATGACTGTACCAATCTCGGTACCTCTGTGCTGGACTTAACGTAGGCTTCAAATTCGAGAGCTCTGGCCATTGCATCCTGCATGGTAGAGGGGTGTGCTTGCTTCACTTGTATCTTAAGTTGTGGACTGTCCAAGGCATCTACGAACTGATCCCTCAGCAACAACTTGAAGAGATCGGGTGGTGCAGTTGGGTAGGCCTTGTGTGCCATGCTTTCCAAGTCCTGTGCCAGCTCCTGCAGGCTCTCACCTTTAGCACGGACTCTCGTCCTCAACCTAGCCCTGTAGACTTCTGACTGATTTTGGGTTTCATACCTGAGTTCTAGAGCCGCTACCAGTGCTCTATAGTTGTGTCTGTCGTCTGCTGACAACTGTCCAAGTATTCCAGTGGTTTTCCTTCAAGCTAATTGCCAGA